CCCTGTGCCAGCCCACTCCCCTGACATCAACGCCTTGGAAGTCGCTGTCATAACTAGATGGGGTCTCGGAAGGGAAGTAGCCATTACACCATTAAAAAGCCTGTGGACCTTTTTGCTGGCCTGGACTCTTTTTCCCTTTAGGGAAGGCAGGGCAAAGCCCAGCCCCTGAGGGCGGAGGTGGGCAGGAGAGAAAATGTAGGATGGTGCCAGGTGGGCAGAGATGTCATCATCTCCGCAGAGAAGGAAACAAAAGTGTAGGTCTGGTATAGGTGATTTGTTCAGGGCCTCACAGGAGGAAAAGCTATCCTGGCAAAGCTTGTGCTCCTTGATTGTCTGTGCTGAAGGCTGTAGACTCCATTTGGGCTGGCACAGAGAGAAGAAAGAAACAAAACTATCATTGCCCTAGAAGAAGCAGGTAGAAGTGAGGCTCTGGAGAGACAGAAGGCATAGCAGCTCACTGGCAACAAACGCCTTAGCAAAACCTGCCCTGACCAACGCCTGTGACTCGGCCTCTGCCCGTCTACAAGTTTATCCTAGGGGTACACTTGCAAAATGACACACATCCAAAGTCACCCACCTGTCTGCAGAGCCTTGTCTACGCATATGAAATCCAGTTTCAGTGGGAAACAGTGGGAGTTTGCCTTGAGTGGCACACGTTTGCTTGGTATCAATGCGCAACAGAGAAACCAGGCTCGGTGGCCTTCGCCTTGGATGGTACACGTTCGCTTGGTATCAGTGCGCAACAGAGAAGCCAGGCGATGGCCTCAGGCCTGTAATCCTAGTAGCCACAGGACCTAAAGCAGGGGGATTTTTTTGAAAGTTCACGGTCAGATTGACCACACAGTAAGTTCAAGGCCAGCCTAGGCTAAATGCAAGACTGTCTCAAAAAAAGAAAAAAGAAACCAAAAGCCATGACAAGCTGTTTGTATTTATTAATTTCACTTATACATGTTTTCAGTGAAATAAAAAGTTTTTGAGACAAAGTCTTGCCGGGTAGCCCAGGTTGGCCTCAAATGTGCCATCCTCCTGCTTCGACCTCCCAAGTGCTGGGATCACAGGTATGTACCGCTATGCTTAGTTAGGTGGTGTTATTCCTGTCTTTGATTCTGAGACACTGCTCTTGATCCTATTTCTAATATCTGGGCTATGCATGGAATTATTTTTCTTCCTTTACAAAAAGTATCTCATCTATCTTTCTTCTGTGATGGCAATGGTTTTGGTAAGAGATTGTGGACCAGAAAAAGACATGGCTTGAGCAATCTTAATGGCCGTTGGTTGGGACTGTGGTACATGTGACAGGGACTCCACTGTGGGGTGTCGGGGGAATCAAACTGAAGGAAGCAGCTCATGTTCTTACAGGCCTGTCCCCCAGCTCAGAAATGTGTGAGGTCATGAGGCTCTTGGAAGAGCAAGGCAGTTGGATGCCGAGTGTCTCCATCCCGACAGGAGATGGGCTGGATGAGGGAGGTTTACATGGGGAGAGACTGGAAGTACCCTTTGTATTCTGAATCCTAAATTCACCATAAGTGAGTCTTTTTGCTTAGTGGACAAAAACGGTTTCTCGCCAGGCCTGGCTCTGGGCCACACGGCTGGGAAGTGAGACCATCCAGGTTTGAAAGCCCACTCTCCCTGGGGTGCTGCTCTTGGCTGTCCAGAACCTCAGCCTCCTGGGACCCCTTTCCTCTAACTTGAATGCCAGTGGACTCTGGGGCCTTTGGCAGGGCCCGATGTACTTTCTCTTTCCTTCTTGTTTAACATGTCCGGAAAGGACATACTTGTAGTAAATGCTAAAAGCATATCAAATATGGACAACCCTGTGCATGACCCTGGCCAGCGAGAGCCCTGTGAACAGCTTGGTGTGGACCATCACGGACCTTTTCTATGTTTGTAACAATACCTATCTCTCTCTGTCCATATATATTTCTTATAAATAAAAGAGGAGCATATTATATCTACTGTCCAGAAATGTGGCTTTTATCTCCAGCAGTGTGTACTGAAGTACACTTCCTCCCTGACCTGCGACACCGGGATGGAATTCAGAGTCTTATGCAGACTAGGCATGTGTTCTCCTGCTGAGCAGTCTCCAACTTCACTCCGTTTCAAAGCTGTTATTGTTAGTTTATAAAATAGGCCAGACAGTGGGGGCACAAGCCTTTAATCCCAGCACTCAGGAGGTAGAGACAGGCAGATCTCTGTGAGTTTGAGGTCAGCCTGGTACACAGAGCTAGTTCCAGGACAGGCTCCAAAGCTACACAGAGAAACCCTGTCTCAAAAATCAAAAATAAATAAATAAATTAAATAAAGAAAAACAAAAACATGTAAACATACATATTTGTATATATTAAAATATACAATATATAAATGTGCGTGTGTGCACGCATGTGTGCCAAAGTGTGCATGCACAACCTACAGGGATCAGCTCTCTCCTTCTACCACGTGGGTCCCCAGAATTTAAACTCAGGTGGTCATTGCAGCAGGTGTCTTTACCATCTGAGCCACCTTTCCCACCCTCCTCCATTTTTTGAAAGCTATTTTGGGCTGAGTGGTGGTGGGGCACGTCTTTAATCCCAGCACTTGGGAGGCAGAGGCAGGCAGATAGATCTCTGAGTTCAAGGCCAGCTGGTCTACAGAGCAGGTTCCAGGACAGGCAGGACTACACAGAGGAAACCCTGTCTCTGAAAAAGAAAGTATTTTGTTGTCATATAACTTATATACAGCTTTCCAACCTAAGTCACACAGCCCAGTGTGTTCCCGTTTCCACGGTCAATTGCAGGACATTCCCCGTGTCTACTTCTCTCACAGCCTCAGGCCACCACTAATCCACTTTATGTCCATAGATCCACCTACTGGGGGCTTGGAATGTAGCTCATTTTGGTAGAGTGCTTGTCTATTATACGCAAGACCGTGAGTTTGAATCCTGGCACTGCATATACTGGGTATGTTGATATTCACTCAGAGGGCAGAGGCAGGAGGATTAGAAATTCAAGGTCATCTTCAGACTGGTAGTCAGTTCCAGGCCAGTCTGGGCACAGGAAACTTTATCTCAAAACAGTAACAACAACAAAACCCCAACTGCTGATTTTAGACATTTTATAAACATAAAATCTATAGGATCATCTTGTGATCTTTCAGTTAGCATAATTTCTTTGTCTTTATAATTAATAAATAATATTCTACACAACACAATTTACTCTTCCACTCTTCAGTTGATGAACTCTTTTTATTATCACAAATAATGCTACTAAGTGAAGTTTTTAAGTGTGTTTAATGACTGTGTGTGTGTGTGTGTGTATGTGTATCTTTGTGTGTGTTGAATTGCTAGGTCATGTGATAATGCCACATTTAACATTTTAAGGAATCACTAATTTTCCATTTGTACCAACAATGACCCCAGTGTTCTTTTTAATGACTATATAATGCCACACCACACAAACATTTTATATCTAACTTACCCAGTTCCCTATGGGCTTCTCATGATACTGTGTCCCACACATGCCCAGCGAACATCATGCTTCTGAAGTCCCCTTATTCCCAGAATAAGCAAACAGATGAAAAACAGTATTTTCTACTTTCAAATTGCTTGTTATTGATTGAAATATTATTGAAAGAATGCCACAGATTACATGTTAATTATATTGATGTACATAAATAATTCCCATATCTTTTCTGAGATAGGGTTTTGCACAGCCCAGAATTGCCTCAATTCTCTATGTAGGTAAGGGCGGCTTTGCGTGTCTGTTCCTCCTGCCTCCGTCCTCTGAGTGCTGGAGTTGTAGGTGTGCCCCACCATGCTGGTTCCCTCATCCCATTTATCCAGTAAACTATCTGGGCCCATGCTGAGTTGCACCTTCCCAGAGGTGTATCAGCACCACGCTGTCTCCTATGCAGGACAAATGAGGACAGTGGCTGGGAATAAGCTTCCATCTTCCATGTATCCTGACACATGAAGCTCAGCCTGGGAGCACGAAGAACGACCCTTTGTTGGATGTGCCTCTTTAAAAAAAAAAAGTGATTTTTTTTTTTTATGTTTGAAAGTTTTCAAGGAAGCTGGACTGTGGTGGTGTGCGCCTTTAATCCCAGCACCTGGGAGGCAGGTGGGTCTCTGTGAGTTCAAGGCCAATGTGGTCTAAGTAGGTGGCAAGTTCCAGGAATGTCAGGGTTATAAAGAGATACCTTGTCTCCAAAAGAAAAAAAAAAGATGTTCAAGGGACTGGAGAGATGGTCCAGCAGCTAAGAGTACTGGCTGCTCTTCCAGAGGACCTGGTTTCAATTCCCAGAAACCATGTGACCTTTTACAGTTGTAACGCCAACTGTAGAGGAATCCGAGGCCCCTTTCTGGCCTCTGCAGACTCTAGGTGTGCACAAGATGCAAAGACATGGACCCTGTCCTAGAATTAGCTCTTGTAGACCAGGCTGGCCTCGAACTCACAGAGATCTGCCTGCCTCTGCATCCCAAGTGCTGGGATTAAAGGCGTGTGCCACCACCGCCTGGCCATAAAGAGTTTTATAAATGAAAAGTGGAGTGGTGGCTGCTAAAGTGTGAAGATTGAGTCAGGTCCTCAGATTGCACATAAAGCCAGACACTTATTGAGCATCTGCAATCTCAGCTGCACTGAGATGGGACCAGCTAGCATGGCAGACCCTGTGGTGAACAACAGGAGACAGAAAGTGAGGACTAATGTCCCAGGTTGTCCTCTGACTTCCATATATGTGCCTTCACTCCTACACACACATGCGTGGGCACACGCACACACGCACGTGCGCGTGCAGACACACATACACACACCATACACAGAAACACATGCAAATATTTAAAATTACCTTTCAAAGTACATATGTACAAGATAAAACAAACTAGTCAGGGGTAATGGCACATGCCTTGAGTTTCAGGAGGCATAGACAGGCAGATCTTTGTGAATTCAAAGCTAGCCTGGTCTTCATAGTTCCAGCCCAGCCAGGGCAATATAGTGAGACCCTATTTCAAAAAACAAGCAAATGAATGAATGAATAAACTATATTTTAGGGAATAACTGTGTAGCAAAATATATTTATACAATGTATTTTATAGGACACAAAAATTATAACATCAAATCCAAAGAGAAAAAGAAAGAAAAACAGACAGTTGAGACTGCTGTGTCAAAGAACCATTGATGAAGTGAGGAGGACCCTGAGGCAGATGTGTCTGTACTTCCTGGCTGCCCAGTGTCTTGTCTTCATCGGCGGCTATTTCCATCTTGCATGTGTCTCTGTCCATTGTCCGGCATTCATGAGGAAGGCTGGCTTATCATATTTCAACAGTGAGGAAATGTCAGCCGTCAGTGGGTCACTGGGGCAGGGTTCTGACAGGAGTAGCTGAAAGGAGCTAAGTATGATCTCTGGGTGGGGACAGTCTCCACATGGAGGTCAGTAAGATCCTGGGGTGAGGGATGGTCTTCACGCACCTCTTGTTGGTGAGATGAGATCATTTAGATAAATTCTGCCAGAACCAGCTGTTGGAGGATTGGACTCAGAAATCAGCTCTGTGGAGGTTCAGATGAATGCCTCTTGGGGAGGGGAGCTGCCAGCTGGAGCACGCCTTTCTCTCCTGAGGTGGGCTGGCTTCACCAGGTCTTCCTATGAGCTCACAGATTACCAGCTTGCTCCTCATCCTGCCAGCATGTGGTACCTGGGTGTCTGTCTTCCGCTGTGCTGCTCTCAGCATATCTGAAGCAGAAGGAATCGTGGCTTCAGATTTCTCAGAAAGAGTTGGCTGGGCTTCCCTGCACACCCTTGCCCCAGCTTCCCTGCACACCCTCGCCCCAGCTTCCCTGCATACCCTTGCCCCAGCTTCCCTGCACACCCTCGCCCCAGCTTCCCTGCACACCCTCGCCTAGCCGCAGCAACACCTGCATCCGAATGTGTCTCTCAAACCAAATCCTGGACAGATAAAAGTGGGCAGCTGAAGAGGATGGGGCATTCCCAGCTGAGGCAGCAGCATGAGCAATGTGCACACGTGTGTGTTACAAGGGGAGGGCCCCTTATTTGTCCTGGCCACCCGCTAGCTTACACATGAAAAAACCACACAGAAACAGTATTAATTAAAACACTGATGGCCATCAGCTCTAACTTCTTATTGGCTAACTCTTACATATTTAACTCATCTCCATTAATCTGTGTATCACCACATGCAATGGCTTACCAGAGATTCTAATGGGCATCCACCTCAGGCAGAGGATCCATGGCTTCTCTCTGACTCTGCCCTTCTTCCTCCCAGCATTCATCTCTGTTTTCTCTGCCTACCTAAGTTCTGCCTTATCAACTAGGCCAAGGCAGCTTCATTATTCATTAACGAATGAAAACAACACACAAACAGAAGGACCTCCTACACCATGTGTGAGAGCTTAGCTTATTGATCACAGGCAAAAGCCACAGAGCACAAGATGGGAACAGAGGTGGAGCAGGCCCAGGCCCTGGAAGGGTGGGCTGCACCACCTAAGACAGCTAAGGGGACTCTACTCTGCCAGCCCCTTCCCTAGGATCCCAAGACAGGCCAAAGTCACTTGCCAAAGTCTAGCTCAGTTGTAGGAACTTCCTGATGTTCACAGATAAGAATCTGTTCATCATGGGGGGCAGTGGAGGCACTGGCCGTTAATCCCAATAGTTGGGAGGCAGAGGCAGTTGTATGTCTGAGTTAGAGGCCAGCCTGATCTACAGAGTGAGTTTGAGGAGAGCCAGGACTACACAGAGAAACCCTGTCTTGGGGGTCAGGGGCAAAGTGTAAAATCCCCTGGTACATCTCTTAACTCTCCCTAAGAAAGATTTCTCTTTTCTGTTCCATGGCCGAAGACAAGACTGAGTGAGACAAGGACCCAGAGAGGAAACTGGCTTCGACAAGGTCATCTCGGCAGGGTCTAGATGGAGACAAAAAACAGTGGGAGGGGCCTTTTTAATAGATTTATTTTTGCCAGGTGGTGGTGGCACACACCTTTAATCCCAGTACTCAGGAGGGAGAGGCAGGAGAATCTCGGAGTTCTAGGTCATCTTCTACAGAGGGAGTTCCAGAACAGCTAGGACTACATAGAGAAATCCTGTCTCAAAAAGCCAAAAAAGAGAAACTATTAATTTTTATTTCATATGTGTGAATATCAATACCTGCATCTATATGTGTATGCAGTGCCTGTGGGGACCAGAAGAGGGCATTGGACCCCCTAGAATTGGAGTTACAGATGACTGAGCTACCATGTTGGTGCCAAGAACTGAACTTATACTCTCCGCAAGAGCAGAGGCCACTGACCGGTCTCTCCAACCCCAGGAGGCACTCCTGTCAAGCAGAGGAGCCATTAGAGGAGAAACTGAGATGTCCCTGACCACAGGATGCAGTTCTGCTGAGATTTCTCCACTGACTTCTCATGGTCAAGGCCAGAACAAGAGCTAGGACTGAAGCCAGGGTTATTTGCACCTGCATCCCCAGTATCCCCTCTGCAGCTAAGGGAGGAGATTTACAGCCTGGGCTACAGAGTGAGATGCTATCTCAAAATAAGGGAGAGAAGGAGGGGAGGAGAGGAAGGGAGGAAGGGGAGGAAGGGAGGTAAGAAAAAAGTGCTGAGGGCAACCAGGCCATGGCTAAAGGAGGCCAGCCTGTCCTTTTCAGTTCTCAGCAGTGTTGGACACTGCACAAGGTGATGGGAAGGGCACGCAAGGCTCTGAGATTCAGCCCTGGGTGAGAGGGAACTAGGAGACAAGCCCAGTCTCAGCAGCTACACACACACACACACACACACACACACACCCCTTTACACACTCAATACACACATAACCCCACACACCTATACATACTTACACACACTCAATAAAACCTCCCCACACTTCCACACACTCAATACACACATAACCCCTCACACACTTACACACACTCAATACACACATAGCCCCACACACCAATGCACACTTACACACACACACACGCAATACAGACATAAACCCACACACACTTACACACACTCATTATACACATAACCCCACACACCTATGCATACTTACATATATCCACACACTTATGCACACTTACACACATACACCCACAATACAGACATAACCCCACACACATGCACACACACAACTAACTGTTGGGGACCAGCCTCGACAAAGATACACTTGTCAGGGAGGAGTGTAGGGCTTTAGAAATATTAGTAAAGACCAGTTGAAGGTCACAGGCTATATCCACAGTTAAACATTCTGTTGCAAGGACAAAACAAGTCATGCTCACACCTTAGACCAAAGCCTTCTCTATGCAAACCACTCCCTGGGGGGAATCCAGTGTTACCTCCATAAGAGAACTGGAACTTAGTTGGATCCTTAGACTTTTGTTTGAGGTAGGAACTTTTCTATTCCTGAAATACAAGCTCTGGCTATTAGCCACACCTGTTGACAATAACCTTGAGAGAGCAGAGCTCTGATCTAAATCTTGGTGGGACCTTTGTCTGAGGTAGAAACACAATAACCTTGAAGGAATAGAACTATGTTCCAATGCTCCAACCTTTGGTCAAGATGGAAACAGGCTCACATTTTTGGACCTCCACAATTCCTTCCTTTTTAAAAATTAATTTTAATAAAGCCTGTGCTTTTGCAACAGGACAGATTATCGTGTCTGCCTTAGGTGAACACTTTTCTGTTTGCTAGACTCACCCGTCATTGGAATCATATATGCCCATTTCTTAAGTGCCTGGGAGGAAAAAAGATCAAATCTCTCTCTGACTGCTGACCTCTGCAATCAAAGGGTTAATGGAGAAAGCACCTCTGGCCTCTGTGTCTCTGATCCAAGTTTCTGTCAAGAGATTTCATCAACAATTAGCTAATGGTAAGCAAGCCAATAATACTTGGTGCTCTGCATATTTCTGTGGCTATAGTATTTCCTAATTATAGGAGTGGAGGATCACCAGGGTTGGGGATAGTGTTCAGCTGTATCAAAATCTAAATTTGTCTTATCAAACATGTCAAATTCAAGAATTCATTGGTAATGTCAAACTTTTCTTAGACACGTTCTAATTTTTTTCTAGTCACTGACGTCTTATAGTGAACTAAAGCATTGGCAGGTCAGTACCGTAACACAGTTGTCAGATCACAGCTCTCTTAAGTCCACTCTAACCAAAAGGCAGGAAAGGTTTTTGTGATGGGTGAGAGTCCAGTTGTGATGCTGATTTTAAGGAACTGTCCCAGTCTCTGAGCAGTAGCAAAACCCTTAGGCTACCCTCCTCACATCTGAAGAGGGGCTTCAGTCACTCCTTGCAACAAGTCCTTTTTCCCCTGAGGGGAAAATTGAGGTCTCAGTTCTCAGGTCCTTTCAACAGCAGACTGAATACCTCATTGGCAATCTGAGTTCTGTGTCTGAAAGTATAAAATAGTCAAATATTCTGTCTGTATTTCTGGTCTGGCTCCAAGGTAAACAGGACTCGGTAGGTCTGGAAGTCTGAGCATCACCACAATCTTCTTTCCCTTCTCAGACCTCAGCATGATGTTGTGAGTCAGGAGCATTGGTTCAGGTACCCCTTTCCTCAGCCTGCAGCATGGTGACATGAGGAAGTCAGGATCATAGGCTCTCACTCCGACTCTCTGTGGGGGGGGGCATTAGCAGCTACAGTGTGATCAGTGTAGTGATTTGTTCTGTCTCTTTAAGAAACAAGCCACGCCCACCTCCCCCACCTGTCTGCTGAGGCAGGCAGATCTTTTCTGCTTACAGCCTGCGTCTTTTCCTTTTTCTGCCTCCCTCTCGAAGAGGTAGCTTCCATCTCTCCCTCCTCTCTCTCTCTCTCTCTCTCTCTCTCTCTCTCTCTCTCTCCTCTTCTCCTCCCGCTTCCCCTCCATACTTCCATAACCCACTAAATAAATATCCAACCTCATTCTGCATGGCATGCCTATCCGTCTATTTCTAGCCCACTGTTGCATGGTTCCCTGCCTGGGACTAGTCGCCTTCGGAGACCTGCGATGTGGTCTAGTGGCGTTCCCATCTGTCTGTCTCTCCTCGTGGCCTGCTGCGGCCACTCGGGGAACTGTGCTGTCTCTGCCTGGGACTAGTTGCTCTGGGGCCCACTGCCTGCCCCCACTCGGGGACCTGCAGCATGTTCTCATGGCCCAGGCTGCCTGCCACCACATGGCCCGCTCACTGCCTGCCTCCGGGGGGGCCCCCAGCTTTTTTAATTAATCCATTACAATCAAGGCTGAAACACTTCTGCTGGGTGTACCAAACCAGACATTCTGGAAGCCATCTTGCTTGATCCTCATCCTCATTGAAAAAACACAGACATGCTGTAAACCCCATATTAACACAGAATCAGGTCCTTTCCATAATCCAGTGCAAGCGTCCCTCTACCCTACTTTAGCAAATGTCACCTTGGAGACATCATGCCAAAATCTGTCTACAGCAGATTGCTCATGGACATCCACATTCAAGAAGTTTAGCATAAAAAGTGCATGGCTCAAGGCATTATGTGTCATTTGAAGATATACTTCTCCTGGTTTTAATTTTTTAAAAAATATTTACTTATTTATTTATTATGTATACAATAGTCTGCTTGCAGGCCAGAAGAGGGCACCAGACCCCATTACAGATGGTTGTGAGCCACCATGTGGTTGCTGGGAATTGAACTCAGGACCTTTGGAAGAGCAGGCAATGCTCTTAACCACTGAGCCATCTCTCCAGCCCTTGTCCTGAGGATTTTAAGGAATGCATGTGTTATATCTGATATTCCATTGGGAACAAAATTGCTGACTTGCTTTACTAACATTTCCAGACCCATTACCCATCTTTATGATTTTTGGGGTTCCCATAAATGAGAAGCAATTTTAAGCAATGAGTTATTACATGCTTAGTGGCTTCTCCAATTTGTGCAGTGGCCATTAAGAATCCTGAATATGTATCGATTGTCACATGCACATATCTTAATTTGTCAAACTCCATAATATGAGTAACATCCATTTGCCATAAATGATTATGAAGTAGTCCTCGGGGATTTACTCCCAGAAGAGGTACAGGTAAATACTATGGGCATATATCACATTCACTAACAATTTGGTGAGCAGCTTCTCTTGTTAATCTAAATTGTTTTCTTAAACTTATACAATTTTGATGATGCAGAGCATGTGATCACTGAGCAAGCTCAACCTGAGATAAAGTGATTAGTTTTGTCAGCTTATCAGCTAAAGCATTACCTTCAGCTAAAGGACCGGGAGATTTGAATGCGCTCTG